TCCAGCAAATATTTTACAATTAAGCTGGGACAAATTATGCTATTTCTAAAATGTAAGCATACTAACGAGATATCTATAAACAAAACTGATAGGGAATTAAGTAGGCAAGACAACTGTTTCAGGCTTATTAAGTGATTTTTGCAAATGCTTTCCATCTGATAGTCTGGTTTTTGAGTCTCACTTTAAAAAGATTGTTGTCTATCCTTGCTTTTTCTGTATAATTAGTATATGTTCAGTAGAAGTCATTAGCAGGGGAACCTTCCCTCACCTTTCTAATGCAGTATGACATGTCTTGCCCTTTGGTTCCTCTACAGATTCCTCATTACACTTCCTTCCAGATACACTTAAAATTAAATGTAAAAATAAACAAATATGAGTGTCCATATATCACGCTTATCTGCGTCTTTATGGTGACTGAGTAGTAGCTGAAGTCATCTGGGACCTTTGTTATTGAAGGAAATCAGGTTTGCCTATAGCGCACAAGATGTTACTGACTTCAAGCCATGCAATAGTTTGGCTGCTATTCAAGAAACTGTTGATTGACATACAGCTTCAACTGCTTCTTCAACTGCTGCCTGCTGTCTAGTTTATCTCATTATAACTTAATAAAAAGGCAGCTATGAACATTCACCAGATTCCTTTGCTTGCTCTTGGAGTCATGGATGTTGGTTTTCCAGGCCAGAACATTACAATAATGTATCAAAGCTGAAATTCTGGCACCTACACTGAATACAGAATTATGCCCTTGTGCCGCTTTCTGTGTCAGAACCCACACAGATTTTTGCAAACAAAATTGCACAGATTTTCCTACCAGGCTATCCTGAAAGGTTTGTAATCTGGGCAACTGTTGGTCTAAGAATGTTTTTTGCATTTTTTAAATTATTTTTTTTTACATGCAGATTTTTTTTTACGTGCATTGTTTAATTTTTTTCCATCAGCCATGTGAAGTCATTAACAGCTTAAGTTCCAGTAACACGTCTGCTGTTCCAACCTTCAACATCTTTATTTCAAGCATAAATTTCCCTATTGTCCCCTTTTTGGTATGAGCACTTGAGGCGAATGGTAGAAACTCAGTATGTTAGAAATAAGTATGATTCTTGGAAATATTTTCACCACCTTCCTAGCACTTACTGTTACTCTGGTAGTTTTTTTCATTAAAAACTAACATTAGACTTTCATCAACATGGTCCCCATCCTTACTGTCATTCTAAAGTTCATTGCTTCTAGTTGGCATCTGAATGCTAGAAATTTCATCCTGCACCAAGTTGGCTTGGATGTGACTTTGCTGGCTTCTGTGTCTGTAATGAAAAGCATTTCATTTGGAATGAAACATAATACTTAGCCTCGTAAATTGCTAGAGGTGCATCACAGGGTTTTTTTAGCAGGTATTGGAGGGTATTGTGGATTTTTCTTTTACTAGCAGTTCAGCCACTTCAGCCTATGATGATAGCATCAATTTATGCCATTGTGGGGTTATTGTGACAACAACTGAAGCTCATACAATTGGCCTTGGCCCAGCAATCCAGCCTGTCCAAGTCCCTCTGCAGAGCCTTCGACCCTCAGGCAGATCGACACTCCCACCCAATATAGTGTCATCAGCAAACTTACTGAGGGTGCACTCAACCCCTCATCCCGATCATGGGTAAAAGATATTAATCAAAACTGGCCCCCCAACTGAGTCCTGGGATAACATTTTTCCTCGTAGGGCTTTGCTGTTCTAATTGGTTGAAATAGTTTTGATAAGGATGGTTTTTGTTTCAGAATATACTGGAAATCAGGAGTGGAAAAATTAATTTCTATTGCAAAAAATGTCATCTATTTTGGTTGATGTTTTTCTGGCATGTCCTTGACAGTGCCCAGTGACAGAGATGCTTTGGAGTTCAGTGCAGAGCTAAAGGTCTACACTGGATGTTTTGGGGCTAATCTGTTGTTTGCCTTGTGATTGTGATGGGCTGGTTTTGTGTGGTTGTTTTGGGTCGGGGGGTGGGGGGGCAAGTCGTAAATCTGGTTATGCTTACATTGTGTGTACCTTGATCAGAGAGACTCTAGTGTTTAAACCCAGATCTGGGTGAATTGAAAGCATTACATTTCCCTGTCTTGCTGATATTCCACAGTGAGCAGAAGGCTAGCCAAGTTGAAGCAAGCATGTATTCAGTTCTTTATACAATTAAGCTATTTCAAGTGCACATCTTTTCTTGTTGTTGTAATTATTTTTTTGCTCCCTGCCTTAAGCATTTACCCTTTGAAAATACCTGCTCCTCAGATTTACCAGTACTAATTTGCTACTGTCTTTTGAAATATAAAAACAAGGCTGTCATATATCTTTGGATAATACTAGCTAAAAATGTGGCTGTAAAATGACAGTGAATAGCTACGCAAAAGATATGATCGTTGTCAGGGAAGGCTGGATAAAAAGAAATCCGTTATAGCTTGAGATCTTTGACAGCAGAATTGACGTCTAGCCAGCAGTTCCCTGTCCTGTGTTTTTTGTAGTTTGCTCCTTCTATCCAAGTATAGAATATACATTCTTTTTTTTTTTTTTTTTTTTTCCCAGACTGTTTCTCCAATTTGCCATCACTGGTTACTCTAATGAAAGAAATACCAACCTTTTTGAGCCTTCGACCCTCAGGCAGATCAAGACTCCCACCCAATATAGTGTCATCAGCAAACTTACTGAGGGTGCACTCAACCCCTCATCCCGATCATGGGTAAAAGATATTAATCAAAACTGGCCCCCCAACTGAGTCCTGGGATAACATTTTTCCTCGTAGGGCTTTGCTGTTCTAATTGGTTGAAATAGTTTTGATAAGGATGGTTTTTGTTTCAGAATATACTGGAAATCAGGAGTGGAAAAATTAATTTCTATTGCAAAAAATGTCATCTATTTTGGTTGATGTTTTTCTGGCATGTCCTTGACAGTGCCCAGTGACAGAGATGCTTTGGAGTTCAGTGCAGAGCTAAAGGTCTACACTGGATGTTTTGGGGCTAATCTGTTGTTTGCCTTGTGATTGTGATGGGCTGGTTTTGTGTGGTTGTTTTGGGTCGGGGGGTGGGGGGGCAAGTCGTAAATCTGGTTATGCTTACATTGTGTGTACCTTGATCAGAGAGACTCTAGTGTTTAAACCCAGATCTGGGTGAATTGAAAGCATTACATTTCCCTGTCTTGCTGATATTCCACAGTGAGCAGAAGGCTAGCCAAGTTGAAGCAAGCATGTATTCAGTTCTTTATACAATTAAGCTATTTCAAGTGCACATCTTTTCTTGTTGTTGTAATTATTTTTTTGCTCCCTGCCTTAAGCATTTACCCTTTGAAAATACCTGCTCCTCAGATTTACCAGTACTAATTTGCTACTGTCTTTTGAAATATAAAAACAAGGCTGTCATATATCTTTGGATAATACTAGCTAAAAATGTGGCTGTAAAATGACAGTGAATAGCTACGCAAAAGATATGATCATTGTCAGGGAAGGCTGGATAAAAAGAAATCCGTTATAGCTTGAGATCTTTGACAGCAGAATTGACGTCTAGCCAGCAGTTCCCTGTCCTGTGTTTTTTTGTAGTTTGCTCCTTCTATCCAAGTATAGAATATACATTCTTTTTTTTTTTTTTTTTTCCCAGACTGTTTCTCCAATTTGCCATCACTGGTTACTCTAATGAAAGAAATACCAGACTTTTTACATTTCAGAGGTGTTATTTCATGGTCTTCAAACTCTGCCATCACTGTACTAATTTGCACAAACCTTATGTATTTCACAGAAACCCTGAGGGCCAGGAGTAACACTTCTTTCTTTAAAAAAAAAAAAAAAGTTTTAAATAATTCTTATATTAAGAAGTACATATTGGCCTCAAAAAAGGGATCATTGATGCCCTTGGCACTGTTCAAAATTATGCAAATATTTGAAGAGGCAGCATAAAGTTATTGGCAGGTGTTCCCAGAGAGCAATAGTCACAGACAGCCACAGAAATACTCCCTTTTAAGGAACTGGGAAATTAAATATGGGACAGTAAGAGACCTCTGTCTCCTTTTCATAGTTAAAACAGAAATACTTTAATCCCACAGTGCTGAAGTCTTACTCTTCATCACATCAAAGCACCTCATAACTTTTCTTCCTACATGATACTTGAAGCTGTATGAATAATATTAGCAGCAAACTTAAAGAGCACTAAGGAGAAACTGCCCTGGTTTCCTTTTTGGAAACTGAAAAAAAATGGAGAAAATATTGTTTAGATAATATTAGAAATCAAGTATGGGTTCTGAGTAAATGTACTGTAATTATTTTGACGAAATAATTATAGGTAAGACAGGGAAATACTTTTGGTGTTTGGGTGGGTTATTTTGCCATTAAAGCCAGTATTTGGAAAAAGAAACTTGAAATAGGGAACTGTGTTCTTACCTGCTAGAAGAAAAACATTTAAGAAAGAGAAACATTGGGCCAAAGTTGTGCTTACTGGGTTGGAATTCTGTTCTGGTGTACATCACACACACATCATGTGTTTGAATTGAAGATGCTCACAAACACAGCATTATATGTGCAAATTGTATAGACTGAGTTCCATACCAGTGTAATCTTAATTGGTCCTTGTGAGTATGAAAATGCAGTAGGCTATATCTCTTCTACTGGAATGGGAATAACTTCCTATTTATCTGATTTCTGTGAGAAGGCATTGGTTCTCCTGATTTATCTTGCTTAGATTGGAGGGATAAATTTGAAGCACAGTTTATGTAAATAACCGTGAAGAAAAAAACACACATAGTTTAGTCTTGAGAAGAGTTAAATTTTTAAGAGAAATGGAGTTTTACGTAAAAGACAAAGGTCACAGATTTAAAATATTTCCAGCTGAAAGCTTTCTGTAATTTGCCCTTATTATAATGGAGAACTTGGCTGTTATACTAGGAATGACACTTTTTGTGTTGAATTACTTGAAGTTCGTTAATTTAAATATTGCAGTCCTATTTACATTAATTTGGACAATGCCTCATTACTTTGTTTTCTTTGTAGTTATTTGAACTGCTAGGCCCTGAAGGTTTTGAACTCATAGGGAAACTCCTACAGAACAGAACCCTGATTCTGGAAAGATCTTTGACTTGTCCAAATGATAACAGGTTCCAGACTCTGCAAGGTAAGTGACTACAAAATCATTATTCCAAACCAGATAAAAAGTACTTTTCTAACCATTCAGTTGTATTTCAAACAACAGAGCTATCTGTGTATTCAAAAAGCAAGTTAAAAAGAAAAAAAGGGGAAGGTATGTTTATATGGTCTTAAACAAAGAAATTGTGGTCTGATTATATAGAGGAAATAAAAATTTATCAGATATATTTATTTACTTTTGAACTGCCTATGGGCATGTGTAATTTTAAAATTTATTAACTGTTGCACTATATCTCTTTTAAAGGATTACTCTAAAAATAAGTTGATCTTTGGTTATTCCTCATCTGATTTCCTGTTTACTCTTCACTATCATCAAATGTAGGTCTTGGGGAGAAAGAACAACCACTTCTGAAAAAAATAAAGCTTAAGGATGGATAAGAGAGGGGTAAAAAGGAATTCAGATTTTACATTTTGATTTATGTTTTTATAAGATAAATTGCCTGCACAGAATAATTACTTTGAAATCTGGTTTACAAATTGTTGTTTAAAAATAAGTAATCTCACTTTACCTTCTGACAAAAAGCAATCTGATTGTGAATAGGTTGTGACTTGGGATAAATCTTACATGGACATAGCACCATGCAGCACGTTGCATGTTCACACCTTACAGAGTTAGAAAACTGTGACTAAAACAAGTAATGATAGACTTGGGTATCTTCACAATAATTAGAGAATGCAAATAAACCCTTTTAAAACTCTAGTAGAAATCTGGGGAAAACAAAGCTGGAATCCAGTACTTACAGAGATCCACACCTGTTACATTGCAGAGCAGTGCAAGAAGTTTATAGGAGAAAATGCTAAACCAAATTATGGTTGTCAAGTTACAATTCAGTCTGAACAAGAAAGGCTGTTAATGAAACAGTATCGTCGTGAAGAAAAGCGAAATGCCAGAAAAGAAAAACAGGCTGGGGAAGATGGAGAAGTTTCTGGAGAAGGACTAATGTGCTTTGATCCCAAAGAGCTGAGGATGCAAAGGTAACAAATGCCAAAAGCTGAGAAATGCTTCTGTTGTATTTGCTACTTCAGCATAACATGATTTATTTTTCTTTAGTTTGCTTTGGTGATCAGGTCATTCTGACTTGAAGTCACATTTTGTTACAAGTATAGAATTTTTTAAATATGAAAACCTAATTTTCAGGGAAAGCAAACAGTGATCTGCTTAATGAGAATCTTCTTGATCTCATCTGTGTGGGCTGGAGATGGAGATTATAGGTGCAGACTATCTTTCTCAGTTCCTGTGCTCACACCACTTGCTTAAGATTTATGAAGTCTGTACTAAATCTATCGGAACTAACCTCCCTTTTTTCATCTCAAGATTAATGGATACTATTTTCCATGCTGTCAGCTAAAGGTAGTGGGAGGAGAAGGGGAGGGAGATAATAAGGAGCAAATAAGCTGTTGTATTTTGTATTGAAAAAAATACACTAGGACTAGCAACTGTGAATACATGTTGCTGTTTTGCTTTAAAAGGAGCAAATGCATTTAGGAAAGCCTTGCACTTTTTGGATTGCACTTCTGTTTTTTTTATAAACTGTGTTATAAAGGCTGCTTAACTGATGCCAGAGAATAAAACTCAAATAAAACTAAAAAATTCCTTTGTTAATTATTTTATGCAATGTTTTTTTCCTTAAATTTCCACAGCTCTTGTTCTGACTTTAACGTATCACATTCTTTTTTTGTGATGGCTGCCTACAATGGGCAGAATTGTTGCAGTTGTTTTTCTTTTCACAGAGAACTAGCACTTTTGAATGCTCGAAGTATGCCAGTCCTAGGTAGACAGAGAGAGATGGACTTTGAAAAAATTCATTATCCTCATGTTTATGATTCCCGAGCTGAAGCTATGAGAACATCAGCATTCATTGGGGGTGCAAAGGTATGTGTTTGGTACGTGACTGTCTTGAACAGTACGTCTTCCCCAGGGAATAATGTACAGCAGGGTTCCCTTTGTTCCCTTAGAGACTCTTCTTCTTGTCAGAGTTCAGTGTATGAAGCAGTATTATAGATTATAGAGGATTTTCAACACTTTCATATATTCTGTTTTTATTTTAAATCTAGAAGAAATAATCTTGTTCTCAACTAATATATATATTTTTTTACTATTATTATCATTATTTCAAGGGTCACTTAAATCAGTAAAATACTATTTTTTCTGTCTTTTGGACACCATTGAATTGACTGTTACAAATTGAATGCTGTATGAAATTCCAGCCTTAATGGCATTTGAGATGTAATAAAATGGAGTTATCTTTTTGTCTTTTGGGGACCATCTTCTGAGTAGTAAAACTGATTATTTTCCATCTTGGGGGTTTAGGACTGTCTATAAAATGAATCAGTGAGAATTGCTTTTATTTTGGATACATTTATTTGAAGGAAAGTGATAAACCATTGTTTAAAGTTGGTTATACAGAATGCCACTTTTTGTTTTCATCCTTTTAATTAATTTTCCTGCAATACTGTTTTAGGTCTTCTTACCAGAAGCAGTTCAGAGAGAAAACAATAAAATGTATGAAGAGGTGAAGATCCCCCATAGTGAACCAATGCCTATTGGTATTGAAGAGAAAATTGTTTATATTAAAGACTTAGATGAGGTGAGTAAACCATTTCAAAGATAATACTTCTTGCTTTATAATACGAAAGTTTAAAGGAAAAATATTACCAATTAATATTCTGATTTGTGATGTGTAAATGTAGCCAATTAGTTTCCTCACTACTGATTTTGAGAATATTTGTTGGGGGATGTAGTTCAGTGATACAATCAATCCCTTTCATGATGACTCGGATTCAAGAAATTCCTGCTCTAACCTACTTGTTCATGAGTTGCAGTTCTTAGTTCCTTTGGCTGAACAGATAATGTTCAGCTTTTTATGATTTTGAGTTGTGATCTGCATTACTAAAATGAAAAGATTAAGGCAATTCTTTTTTATTTCTGGAGACCACATGGAGAAGTGAGCCCAAGCTTCTGTATCTTGACTTGTGCAGATTGACTTGTGACTTCCTAGCACTATTTTGCACTCCATGAGACATAAATGTTTTAACTTCTATTGATTTAAAGTGGTGCAAAAGCTGAGGTAATGGAACTAAATTGGTTGTTAGTATTTGCAGCCTAGAACCTGCAGCAATCCCATCATGTGGACCTACTCACTACACATTGTATGTGCCAAATCTGTTCATGAATGGTAGATTTCCTATTGATTTCAGTAGGGACCTAAAGAGCAAGCTGCATGTGCATATGAAAAAGGTTTTATGTTTCTTAGTTCTTCAGCAGCATACAACGTGGGAAAATGTTTCTCTATTTTTTCCCTGTGGGAAACCAGGAAATGAAAGTATAAATCTAACACAGTTATCCAGAGCATTCTATTGGGGTTCTAAGTAAAGATTGTGTCTTACATACAATACTCTTTTTAAATAGGAGACAGTTTCTGAATCTGTTCTTTTTTTGCTTGGGTGGCAGTACCTAATGTCATAGTTGTGAAGTGACTGACAACTTAACCAGATAGGAAAGTTGAGCCACTGCAGCTGTAAAATGTGACATTTTATGTGACAGTTTTCAGCATGACAGCTTTTTGCAGTGAAATGTCTTTCTCCTAGGCTAAATACTACCTGCTAACCTGTAAACTTTTTGCAGTAAAGTACCAGTATTTCAAGAGACAGTAACCTGTTTCAGAAAAAAATATAGTTCAGACAGAAAATTAAATATTTTTTTGCAGATTTTTATACATACAACCTTTAAAATAAATTTTACAAAATGCATGAGTTGTACAGATTTCACAAAAAAATAATCTCCTTTGTAAATTATGTATCATCAAGAGGTATACTTTTAAATTTTACAGTTGAGTCTGGAATAGAAACAGCTTTCTTCAGAACTTTTCTCTTTCATATGTTTCCTGTTATGGGACATCAAAGAAGAGATTCAACAGCAGATACAATTTTGAGTGTTTGAATACTTACATATTTAATTTGTGTTCCCAACTTTGATATCAGTTTGCAACGAAAGGTGACAAATTTATGAATAGCTTGTCCAAGTGCAGGACTTGTCAGGTTCCCTTTTCCATGAGTGGAACTCGTAGTTTCGAATCTTATTAAATAGCACCTTTTTTTCAGTGAGGTAAAGAGCCTGAGATTGCCAATATGTGCAGGGTTTAAGACGTAACTGGTCAAGACATAAGTACCTTGGTTAGGGCAAAATTTCTTTTTGCTCTCTCTGTATGGCTGTTCCAGATCTCTAAGCTCATAAAATCTTGGTTGGTGCTTAAAATTTTTGTGAAAAAACTCAAGGCAATTTAGAGGGCAAGAAGTTTTTCTGTCAATACAATTGATTCGTTTTTTGTGAACTAGTGTAAACAGAAGCAGCACAAAGTTTTTGAGTTCTAACCTTAGCATCTATAGGTGCTTATAAGATAGCTCTCTTACATCTCTGTATAGCTCTGTTTGTAAGGTTATCTACAACATAAACACATGGGCAAGGAGAGGTGATGGTAAATACATCTTGACAGTTCATGGCAGAATTGAAAGGCATGACAAGGAAGCTGAGAGTTTTTACTACTATGGGATGCCATTAGTAGTAGGGTTTTGATCTAAGACATTTAGTTACTCTAAAAATACAGATTAACAAGTTACTATGCATATGTAACTCATAATAAAAGTCCCCAGGTACTGTGGTGCTGTCACAAAGGTATTTGTCACACTTTTGTGGACAAATCCTGGTGGTTTTAAAACTGGTAAATATTCTTCTTTCTTTGAGTTTATTCATTTAGATTTCATCTGTTCTCTGTTTTACCAGCCCCATTTCTGTTCTGCTTCCGTGAGTTTCTTGCCTTACCTCATTGCTTCAGGTAGAGAGTATAGCAATTTTTGTATAATTATAACATTTCCTGCATCTTCTAGGTAATCACCTTGTCCAAGTGTGGAGATGTTAGGTAGTCAGGAGAACTACTGTACAACTGACTTTATGCTGAAGAAGGAAGTGTGCTTCTATTTAGATTTGATTTATGGGAAGTTTTTTAATGGCTGGTATCGATTTCTTCTTAAGGGAAAAAAATTTATATGCCATTGATAATATCAAGAACCCTAGATCTTGATCTGAAAATCTCAAGTGGTACCTTTGCTTAATGTTAAAAACCTGAACTGCATCAGACTGAAAAGAAGTAAACCTCACTAGGAAGTGTGACCAGTAAGAAAGAGCATGAGAAAAATGGGAGCAATACAAAAGAAAATTAATTCTCCACTAATGCTTTGTATTAGGTGTGTTGACAAGAGCGGGTCTGTGCATGTACAAAGACAGACCAAGAATCTTGTGCTATGTAACTAAGTGTATTTAACATACTAAGTATTTTTTGGAAAATGCAGCTGGAATTAGCATAAGTGGCAGTCAGTGGTGGTGCAGAGACTGAGGAATAAAAGTCTTCATTATTCAACTTAATAATCCCATTACCTTGCAGGAGAAAATTCTGTTACACAGCGACTAGTTTGTGTTTGTGTCACCTCTGTCTTTGAACAAAGCAGCTCTATAAGAGAATCTGTAAAGTGTAGGCATAACATGCTGCTGGTAATGAAACTCAATTGTAAAAAAAATATATATTACCTTTAATTTTCCTTTTCAAAGACAAAAGAAGGTAAGAATTAGTCTAAAATGGGCTAATTTGTATTCTTTTGAAAAGAATTCACTTTCAACTGAATATTAATGTGAGAACTTTTGGAGTGTCACAGGAGTTTATTTTTCTTTTTTCTGTATGTTTTCAGTTGCATTAAAGTAAATTTAAGGACTCTATACCTGTTTCTCATCAGTTATATGATATTGATCACATTGTCAGCAGTTTGGTTGGAATATTTGACTGCATAACATGCATATTGCAGAATATACTATTAAATTTAATCTTCAGAGCTCTTAGGGTTAGAACTGAGTTCACGATAAGGAGTTTATTTACATTCTGATCTTTTGGCCAAAGGTTAAACCTCTGGATCATGTAAGCAGAAGTATTTAATGGTTTTAAGTATTAGTTCAGATTACTTATATTTTTCTCATTTCCTTGCATTGATACTAACTTAGGTTGAGGAGAGATGAGTTTTTGGGGTATTACAAAGATTCACCTCACTTGGGACAAGGGTAAACGCCCCGGCTCTGCTACAAGGCAGCAAATCCTACCTCTAATGTGATTTGTAGACAATTAATCTTCTTGGCATTTATTATTATATGAAGGGCTGTGTTTTCAATACAGTACAAACACATGTGGCTCGTAAGTAGCTATTTGGTCACAACAAATTAGTCTGAAGCATTATGGCACTATTACTTGAGAGAGTGGCACGCTAGCTGTGTTGTTTCAATAGCAAGAATTTAAAACACGGTGCAAGTTTAAGTGCAAGCTTAGATTTATTAGCTTTGGCTGCTTGACATGCAGCTTGACCGGTACTGAAATATATATTTTGTACTTACTATAAAGGTGTCTTTGTGCCAGCCTTTTTGCCAAATAAATGTACCTTTAAAGTCATAAACTCAGGTCAGGGAAAGTTCCTCTTCAAGACTGTGAAAACAGGTTTTATCTAACAAATTGCTGTTGGTGAAAAATGACTTCAGCTTTTTACCTAAAGTAGGTGTTCAGGGTAGGATTTATTTCTTTGTTTCATGTTATTTCCATTTCCTTTTACTCGCACTACTTAATGGCCTAAATAAGAAATAGGGTTTTTTCTTTGCATTATGTGAAGGAATTATTGCAAAATCAATATTCCCTTTTTTTCTGTAACGTTTTCTTGTTTTCAGGGTTGTACAAAGTCTACTGAATAGAACTATGGATTTTTTTTCACCATAAATTACATTTCTCACATCCAGAATGTTACACCATTTATTCCGCAGCTGACATTAGTGTATATTTAAGTTTAATATTTTCCAAGCAACACTTGGCAGTAGGACTGATTTGAATACTTTTTAAAAAATCTTTTTAATTTTATTGAAATATTGTTATTTAGCCAATAAAGTGTACTAGCAAATTACTCTGAGGAAAGTTTACAAGTTCTGTAACCATTAGTACCAAGTTAGGACAAGGAAAAAAGCTGTGTAGGTCATGATACAATGTGTTTTATAGCTGGGTAAAGGTATATTAGGAATTTCAGTCTGTCCTCGTATTTCATGAGTAAGTGTCAAGAGAAAGTAGAATATCTGGCAAATCCTGCCTGACCAACCTAATGGCTTTCTACAATGGAGTGACTGCATCAGTGGACAAGGGAAAACCTATGGATGTCATCTGTCTGGAGTTCTGCAAGGCCTTTGACACTGCCCCCTACAAAGTCCTTCTCTCCAAGTTGAAGAGATATGGGTTTGATGGGTGGACTGTTTAGTGGATAGGGAATTGGCTGGATGGTTGCATCCAGAGGGCAGTGGTCAGCAGCAAGATGTCCAAATGGAAAATAGTGACAAATGGTGTCCTTCAGGGGTCCGTCTTGGGACCAGTGTTGTTGAATATCTTTGTGAATAATATTGACAGTAGCATTGAGAGCACCCTCAGCAAGTTTGCCCATGACACCAAGCTGGGTGGTACAGTCAATAAGTCAGAGGGATGGGATGCCATCCAGAGAGACCTGGACAAGCTGGAAAAGT